AAGCGATAACTAAATGAAAACTCATTTTAACTCTGCGTGGTTTGAAAATAATGCTTTTTTAAGAAGCTAAAACTTCCTGTTAATTTTAAAACCCCAGACCGTGATTTGAGGGCATTTTTATTTCTGAACATATTTTGTAGGTTTTTCTGTGATAGAAAGGAAAGCCTGGGAGGTGAGATTGCAGTTTGTATCTATAAGCAGTGTTTTGTGTACGTTCTAAGTGTTTGCAAAACTTTATACCCAAAATCTGGTCATTCAATAATTAAGCACTGGGTTTTGTGCATCAGAGAGGCAGTCATTGATCATAGACCTCTGAGCAGCCTTTCTCTGTGATAGATGGAATTGTTAGGCACACTTAAAAGTTCATGTAAGAAAAAAGTAATGGAGCATCTTTGCAATATTAGACTACCAAAATTTGTCTTAACTGGCTTTATGATCGCTTATTAATAAAAGAAATGTTATATTGGTATTCGTATCATGTGATAGATCTGAATCCAGACTACTAGTATCTAATTTAAGTTTCTTTTTACTTTGTACCAAGTTTTCTATTTCACCACTTGACTAAAAATTTGTTAAAGTAAACATTAACAGCTGAGTGTGCAAAGAGGCTTCTTAAAATGCAACATTTCAAAAAGTGAGACAGTTGCATTAAAAATTGAAAACATACTTTCAGCATATGAAAATTAAGAAGAAATTTTCCGGGGGGGAGGGGTTGGGGGGGGCTAAAGGGGGGAAACAATTCAGTGTAGTTTTGCATAGTTCTCCAATGAAATATTTTTAAGCATATTGTAATGAAACTGGACTGCAAAACAAATCTAAACGGCATGTCTTGGCGCATAGAAAAAAGAAGTAATTGATTTAGATGTGGAAAGTTGTGTTACTCGTGGTGAGATAACATGAGTTGTCTGGAGTTGTTATGAGATTACAGAGAAGAGGTATTTATTACATGGGTTGATGGAAATCAGGCCTTTGGATAGAATCCAGTGTCCAAAATACTTTGGATTTGGCCCAAAATCCAAATACTTTCTAACCCAATCCAAAGTACTTCAGTTAGAATACTTTGATGGAGAAGGGGAAAATGGTACATCAAAAGGGACGGCATTTTTCTGCCATCGAGTTGGAAGATTCTGGACTGGTAAGAAATGTAAAGCTTCGAGTAGTCAAATGGATGCTCTGTATGTCAGAGCATTCACAGTCAGGCTGGTCCCTATTGGGATTCAAATGTCTTTTTTCGATCACAGAAGAGTTTGCCAGAACTAATAGTGCGGTGCCACTGTCCCCTCTGTTGCCCCTTTAAACTTGCAGTTTCTCGTCCAGGCTGCCTTTTTGTATAAAATGTATTATAAAACCAGCCTATGCCAGCGGTAGGGTGAAAAAGAGCCAGACCCAGCTTGGTTTAAGTGACTCTCGTCCTCTTTTTCTCTGCTGTCTTCCTTAGCAGAGAAAGGAATGGAATTCCTTCCATTTTCTTTGTTTGGCTGATATCCAGTTATTGGGAAAATGCAAAGGGTGTCCTTTGTGGAACCAGATTTGAGAAGTTTAACTCTTCTGGGAGAGACGTGTACTACGCTTAACTCTTCTATGGTGTTATGCAGTTAAATAAAATAACACGTCAACTCTGCACGTGCCGTTTAGTGAAGGATTTCTGTACCAAAGCATTGACGGCAACCTCTTACTTTTGCCATTCATGCCCAATAGAAATGTGCACTGGTTACAGTATGTACTGGGTATTTTATTACCTGCAGTTTGTGGAAATCTGCACAGAACTGTGCTGGGGTTTAGTGAAAAAATCTCACTTCTGTGAGCGTTTCCTATAAACACATAAAACGTGGCTAGTTACACACTGATTAGCTGTGCACTTCTACATGGCTAGTTACACACTGATTAGCTGTGTACTAAGAAGCTTCCAGGGAGCCTTAGCCCTCTTTTCTGTAATTCATTGCACACAGGCATGTCGGTGTGTCCTCACAGATCCCAACTTGCATATGAGCACAGTAAATTACAAGATAAAAGGTCAAACTTTGATGATGTGAATAGCATTGTTCACTGTTTTCTGCTTAGGGTGAGTGTGGTGGTTGAAGTATTTTTGTACCTGGGGAAGAATGGAAAATGGATCATCATTTTTATTTTTTACGACACTCAAATCCTTGTGTTAGTTTACAGTTCTTTAGCCTCTAGTACTTCTCAAGAAAAAGTCATACAAACAATAAACTTTGACTGAAGGTATATGATTGAAGCAGCCATTTTATTCCAATTCACTGTACTGAGTAAAAATATTTAAATATTTTCCACAGACGAAGTAGTTAAGTGAATTCTTTTGCCTCTTTTAGCACTATTTCAAGCTATGTGCGGTACAGAAAAATGATTTATCTGATTAGATGATGGTAAGTATTACGGTGGTGATGAAATGGGATGTTAGCTGAGGCAGAGCATTGCAGAACCAGTAGAAATATAAGGTTACTTCAAAGTGTCTCTTGCTGCTTATGCAAAAAAGAAATTGATGGCTATTATTTTCTCATAATGGATCCAGTGCAATTGCCCTAAATAGCAACATGAGCCACAGTAAGACTGGGCTAAGAGATGAGCAACCTTCTCTGCCCTATGTGTTTCCAGTATTTTAAATATGTATTTTCTGATTCTGATGTTACTGTATTACAGAAAGTTAATTCTCATTAAAAATAATAGGAGAATTATTTACCTATTTTAGCCTTACATGGGACCTGTAATAAAAACGCCAGTGCAGCATTCAGCAAGAATGCTGAAACTTGAAGGTAAATTCTGCCTTGGTTTTGATGAAACATCGTCTGCTACCTTCTTAATCAGAATAAAACCAGTCAAACACCAAAACTTCTAAACTGAAAACGTGAAAGAGTCTTGAACTGTTGCCAGGTGCTCTCCAAATCCTAATTCTATGTACCAGATTTAGAGATTAAAGGATAGATTGTTTTCATATGAGAGATGGCAAGGTGTTTGATGTGACATTGACTCTGATCTTCGCTAGCTGGTACTCGGTCACCTCTCCACTGTCAGTGAGCAGAACCTCATCACAGTCTCCTCATCCCTTCCCCAATTTTGGCCAGCCAAGGATTACATCCTATTGGAGTGCTCCAGAGTATAGGAAAGTTGAAACAGATCCCTGCAAAATAGTGCCAGGCTATTCTAGAAGGCTACGTCCTGCAGAAAAATCGCACCCTTTGTTCTTTAGACTTCTTAGTCAAGAAGGTATGTCCAGCTGGCTCCTTTCTAGTCCACATCCTTCTTGTAAATACCATGGCTATTTTTTTTCTTTATGTAGCATTTTGAACTTTACGTTTATAAGTAGCATGTCTAAAGAGAATGTACTGCATAAGTGTACTTAAGGGAATATTTTTGCCTCTGTAGTCTTCCTTTAGTGGTCTTGAAGGAAGGAGCTGTTATTAGTGTTAAATATAGATGTGACATGTTGGTACCGTTGTTGCAGAAATGTTGTAGGATCCTTATCTTTATGTTCCATTTCTATCTCAATAAACCTTTTCTTATTAAAATCAGTCAGGTCTATAGTAACATTTACTATGTTTTAAAATGTTAGCATAACATTAGTATTAGGAATAAGGCAGAATTGACATGCAATTCCAAATAAAACCTGTTAGTGTCATTACTACAATAGTCATCAGTGCCATCTTACATTTGAGTTCTAGGATTGTTGTTTTTTCTGACATACTTACTATTTTAATTGCATATATGGAATATATGTCTCACCTTAATAAAACGTCCAATCTCAAGAGTTAAGTCACCTGGTCAACTTAAAAAACTATTTTGGGGGAATAACACAGTTATTCTGAACTTCTTTCATGAAGATTTGCTCATACGGTATAATCATATGGGGGGAAATTATTCCTTATGATATTCAGATTTTTTCATAGGTATTCTGAGATCAGTGCATTGATGCTGGCTTTTCCCTTTTATTATACAATTTTCTTGTAAGAAATGATTATTTTAGTTTAGTCTCAATGCAGGGTTTATCCATTTTTATGGGTATTATCAACCCTAGAAGCAGCTTCCTTCACATTAAATTCATTCAGTTTTCTAAACAATTTTTAAAGGGCATTAATTGAGCTAGTCATCTGTTGATAATTCTGAATAGAAGCATATGTGAAACTACTCAGTTAAAGGATACATCCCTTAATTCACCCAAACTGTACATTAACTATTTAATAACAGTTGCACTCTCTTAGCTTTTAAGATGTAGCTCCGTTGCATCCACATATAAATAGAATATGCTAGCAGGATTATATTTACCCTAAGCCTTATTTTGATGGTTCCATTGACATTTAAAATTTTGATTCTAAGCTCTTTAAATGGATGCAGCTGTATACATCTTCATGAGTTACTGAACTGGGCTGAAAGACTTTAGAAAATGGCTCATGTGTTTTCTATATCTGTGTTTTTCAGGCTGTTTTATTGGAGCCAGGGAGTCATGAAAGAACCTCAAGAAGACAACTTGGATAACGAACGGAAGATAAAAAGAAAACAAAAAGAATGTGGCATATAAAGGGTATAATACCTGGAGGTATTAGATCTGACTCATATTTATAAAAATGAGACGAGCTTTCACAAAATACAAGTTATCTTAGACAGTCATCAAGCTTGGAGCCATGCTGTTGAACTAGAAATTCTCCTTTTCCCCATTCTCCTTTCTGACAGGTAACAAAGGATTGGTGAATTATGATTTTCCCAAGTTGGAAGCACTAATTTTTATCTATATAGTTCATCCTTATGAATATATAAGGAGTTAAACATTGCATATTTAATGTGGATTATAATGGGAAACTGACTCATTAACAAAAATGGCCACTTTTAAGGACTTGGTTTCAAACTGAGCTGGAGCCTCCCAATGCACTTTGTACAATTTGGGGAAAAGTGTACTGAATGGCCTTCTTTGGGAGGCCATGATGACATGTAGTAAAAGGATATCATCTTACTGTTGATATCTTTGAAGACTCATAAACAGAAACAGAAAAATGAATGGTGGAAAGGAGTGTGACGGAGGGGACACGGATGGAGGGCCACCAGCAGTGCAAGTTCCCGTTGGTTGGCAGCGACGGGTGGACCAAAGTGGAGTGCTCTATATCAGGTAAGGTTGTCTGAGGTGGTTACTGGTTTTGTTTTCATTGTAGTTTTGCTAGAACGTGTGGTAAATTAGTGCCTCAGCTAATCTTTTGTACTCAAAAACTTCAAGGGCTTGTTCTTTTGGAAGTGCAAGATCATTTTTTCCGCTTGTATTAGCGAAGTCCACTTATGTCAGTTGTGCTATTTGCATGCCCTTAACGTACTCTCAAATCTAATATTGCTTGGTCTTGAAAATTTGATAACCTTACTATACATTTTGCTTTAGGCATGAATAGTTCTTTATTACTTATTATTGTCATATGGATTTTAAAGCTGAGCAGTAGCAGATTTAACCTTACTTAATATCTTTATTATTCAAACCTTTTACAATGGAACTAACCAGAGGTTTAGTTATATGCCACACCTGAGATGATGAGAAATCTCTGCTGTCTTTTGCCTACTCCCAGATGCGCAGGCATTGCTTTTTCCTTGCGCCAGCATGGGCTTTTTATAAGAGCCTTTGCTGGCCGAGTTCAAAGCAGTGCTCAGGCATGCAAACAGTTCATGGGAGGGAGGTAAAGTAGAGTGGGACTTTATTCTTCTGTCAGCAACAAGTCTTCGGCTCAGTTCATGCAGTGCCATACAACTTTATCCTGACTTTCTGTAGCTTTTCTTCCCTAGGTCTTTTCTGGGCTTATGTTCCAGATCTCCGTTACACCTTTGTGTTCTACTTACTCGCTTTGAAAGGAAATTTAAGTGGTGTAACTGCTTAGTAACTGCAAAAAACATCAGTTTCTATATGCCGTGTGAAGGTTCTGTGTTCAGTATCACTGACATTCTCCAGCAAGATTTACTTCTATGGATTCCTCACATTTCTCATGTAGAAAAAACAGGAACACAAGCCTAAATCCAAAGTTTTAGGTATTTTATTTGTTTATTTTGTTAGTTTATTAGATTTTTTGGCTTCACCCTGGAACAGTCACAAAGAAACATATTGAAGTTACTGTTAAATGAATGTGTTCAGACAAACAGACTACAAATTAAATGTTATTGGAAAAAAGATCAAAGTTAGCTTTAACAAAATATGGGTGCATCAGGTTTACATCCCAGAAGTCTAAATGATTATCAGTCTTACTTGCTTAATCTTATTCCACTGCTCTGTGATTAAAATAACCACTTCTTCACAACATTTTATGTATTACCAGTACAAAATTCTTTAATGAGTCAAAGCATACTCCAATTTTGCACTAAACTACCATAAAAGATAAAATGCATTCCAGGATTTCTTGTTTGTATTCTCAATTAGCAGAATCAAACAAAATCCATGTCAGCGATACGCATGTAAAAGGTAAATCGCCTTCCCGTTGTATTTCCCATTACAGCTATAATTTACCAGGCCTCTGCCTTAGTTAAAAATCAATGAGAGAGAAAAAGTTGTGGGTTGGGTTTTTTCCCCTATCATCTCTATATCCAGGCATCAGAATATATAATGCTTTGGTATTTTTGTATACCTGATGATCTTACCTGCTTTGGAACTTCATTTTGTATGGCTGTAAGAAGCAGGCCATGAAGCTTGTGCTACTTCTTCAAGCGTGTATCTTTCATGTTTATTATCTAGTAAATGTTGGTATAATTCTGGCAGTCATTTGCTTTTCTATCTTCTTTTAATATATGTTCTCTTTGTTCAGGTGGACTTTCTTAATATTTCTGTTCTGAATTGCCTTATGCAAAACACTGTTTTTATTCTAGCTGACCCTATTAATCAAGTTTACCAGTTGCCTTTTTCAGCTTGGGGAGGCTTGTATTATTTCTGCCCTCTTCCCAAGTTTTGCCCATGTATTTTTTTCTCTCTTTAATCCAGTGGTTAATTTCCTGGTTGCCTTCCGCAAGCCATTCTGATTAAGGAAAGGTGCTTAGTATGGTCCAGAGCTCTTACATTCTTACTTGGTGAAAGGCACAGAGTACGTAGGACATGTTGGTTGGAAAGGATGGAAGTCAAATAATCCAACTCCTGCTTGATGTGGAGTGTCCGCAGCACTCGGTCAGGTCAGCCCTTGGTTTCGCCAGCTGTATCTCCAAGGATTGAGTTTCCACAACCTCTCTGGGTAACCTGCTCTAGTGCTGCACTGCCCTTCTGAAAGAACAACCACGCTGAAAATATGCACAGCATTTATTGAGAGAATGAAAGGTCAAACAATATTGACTCAAAAGCTATCCAAGGGAAAATTAGTGTATATATTAAGATCTGACATGATTTAACTAGAATAGATGATCCCAGCTGAATAAGGACTCATTCTATTTGTGCTTCCTTATAAAGCACGCACACTTTTCTGTCAACTGTCAACAGTTGCTCTGGATTAAATCCATTAATTAACTAGTTTTTATTACCTGGTAATAGCACTGAGTTGAGTCTTAGTGCTTTTCTTAGTAAAACAGTGCTGCTGCCTTAAAGTAGGATCTAAATCTCTTCTTCAGCTTACTGTTCATGAATATTCGTCAGCGGAATAAACTGAGAAAAGCTCTTTAATAACAGGAACAGATCCTAATATATTTTCTAATTTGCTCTTTCTTGTTTCTTTGGGAGGCCTAAAACTTCTGGATGACCTCAGTGCTGAAAAAAAACTGGTAGTTTCTTACAAAGGAAGCTGTGGATTATCCTTTGCAGTATAGAAGTGTGAGGAAATCTGTGCACACAAAAGATACTTTGCAATTACATAGGTCTGCCCAGGAACAACGCAGAAACTGAAAAATCGGGCCTTTTTTAAATTTTGTTGTTTCTTGTGGACAAATAACCATGCATATATGAGCAGTAGGGATGCTGAATCCCACATGCCACAGATTCATCGGACTGATCTGTGCACTCCTGGTAAGCGTGAGTATCCAGACCTTCCTTTACACCCACTGATTGTCGGTGCAGTACGTATGTGCCTTACAGGTCTGTTGTTTCCAGGCTCCAGTATCAACTTGTGCCTGAACTGGATATGTGTGCCCAGATTTCCCAGACAAACTGCATGCCAAGGAAGGTTATTGAAAATTGCTTTATTCTAGAAATAGGAAGAAAAAAAAAAAAACTCTGATGGTATAGCTTTACTCTTGCTGCTCAGTAGGCCTTTTTTACCAATGCAAATAAAATGGCATCCTGACTCCCGAGCATATTCCCAGGGATGCCATTTAACATGAGCTTTTTAAGCATCACAGAAAGTGTCCGCAGAGATTTTGCTTGTAGATGGGATAGCGTAGAGCAAATGGCAATCTGAGTTTCTCCCACGGGAAGCGTCTTCAAGCATGGACCTCGCCTGGGGTGAGCAGTCGCTCCTGTGTGCATAGTCAGGGCACGTTGGGAAAGTCCAAAGCGACCGGCCAGCGCTGGAGATGCGGAGCCGAAGTAGAGAACAAGTGATGCTCACTGAGTTAAAATGTGATAATGGTAGCATCATGGTTTAACCAGTCTATAGCTGAAATTTAAATAAATAAATTTTTAAAAATGAAGAGTAATTTCCCCCTGCTCCCCAAGTACTTAAATTTAAGACAGGGAAGGTTTGGCTTTCTGACGTATCTATCGCTTCATAGCTGTACCATTATTTTTAGATTGCTCTTTTATCTTGCTTACCCTCAGAACTGTCACTGTAACACATACTCGACCTGGGTAGGTCTCTCTAAAATAACTATTTCAGGGCAAGTCTGGCAAATAAATTACTTATTTAAACTGTCAGCATAACTTTAAATGCCACTTGCAGGTGTTGCTTTTTATATGACTTAGTTCTTGTGCAGAATTAGGTGTTTATACATTGAGTTTTAAGTACGAAAGTTTGTCATAGTTGGAATTTTGACTCTTGGCTGTTTTCATGATCCAAACTATTCCACTTAAGTTGTTTTTATTAAAATAAGGGCTATTTACAGCTGCCATTAAGAACCAGTGTTTTAGCCAGTCCTCATAAATTACTGTATTCTTTCCCTGATAAACAGTTTAGATGGCTAAGTAATAAAGAGCAAGCAATCTAGAAGTTAGAGTCTTGTGACATGAGAACTTTTTTCATCTTATGAATTAGTGATTTTGCCGTAACAGAATTTCCAATGTCCTATTTTTGGATATGGAGATAATGGTTTTCTGGTGGGAGTTAGCGAAATCCAAGTGCAGTTTATCAGAAACTCACTGCACTGGCTTCTTGGTGTAGTATTTCTCACTTCCAGTTAGAGGGTTGAAATTTTAGCTGAATGAAACCAAATTTTTTATGCAACTAAGAGACCCAGCCGCAAGAGTTCTGTTACTGTTCCCCCTTTTCTGTATGGGTTTTCTCGTGCTTCTTGAAACACACTTTTGTGGTTTTTCTTTTTAAATTAGGTCCCAGTCCTAAAAAGTACAGATGACTGTCATGCCTGCATGGGACTGCAGTGATGTGATGGAGGGGCAGGAGGTCCATGGGGACTGCACTCTGCCTGTGTTACACTTTATAGGAGAGACGAGGGAGAAAAATAATCTTAGTGTTGGTAGGCAGGAGCTAAGGCTTTCAAGCAGGACTGTAATATGAATAGTAAATATCAATAATTTCAGTTACTTTCTTTTCTCTGCACTTGCTGTGTTTGTTTTTCTATAGTAAAATCTTCCTTTAAAATTTTTTTTTTTTGCTATTTTTGATAAGTATCATCTCAGTTCTTGACTAAAAGCAAGAACTACCATGAAACAAAATATGAAATCTTAGCTGTGTTATTTTAAACACTCTCTATGTGAGCTGTTAGAACGGTAGATGGAAGTCATGACCTATCAAATAGCTTGTATTCATCATTTCTGTTCCTTTACAGTCCCAGTGGGTCTTTATTATCCTGCTTGGAGCAAGTGAAGACTTACTTGCTGACTGATGGAACGTGCAAGTGTGGCCTAGAATGTCCTCTTGTTCTTCCCAAGGTAAAAAAAAGCATCGTTTTGGATCTCTGTGCTATAACATTTTTCAGTTATGTCAGCTGATGCTATGACTTAATCTCTGTTCGGATCGTATATATAAAATGAGATAAGTGGCATACACCCGAAGATTTACCGTAAAATACAAAATGAATCTCCCTTCTGCCTTCTCCCCTCGTGGAAAAGATCTGACATGGTTTTTATGGTGTTTTAACATTTTCCTATTAAATTGGAAACGTACCATCAACAGCATCATGTTAACACATGAGAATCAGAAAGAAACACTGATTTACATGATAACTTCAGTATCAGCTTCACAATTTTATCATCTATACACAGATTGTAAATTTTTTTTCTTAATCACAGAGCAATCTCAAACACACATGGTCCTTTTTCTTTTTTTCCTCCCTACCCTTTATACTGAGGGGTGTTAAACTTCTTTTGCTAGATGACAACTTCCATGGCTGTTTACTTATTATAAATATATTCAGTATTTATAATTTCGAAGCATACTGTAAAGCTTATCTCTTGGGCAATGTAGGAGCAGTCAGATAGCTCTAAGGCACAGAGACAAATTTAATTTTACGTAAAATTTCTGGTTTGGGTGTATTTGGTGAGTTTGCTGCCTATAATCATTATTTTAAATGTTGGAATTTTTACTCTCAGGTCTTTAATTTTGATCCTGGAGCTGCTGTGAAGCAGAGAACTGCTGAAGACGTTAAAGCGGACGAAGATGTCACCAAACTATGCATACATAAAAGGAAAATTATTGCTGTGGCTACACTTCATAAAAGCATGGAAGCACCACATCCTTCACTAGTTCTAACTAGTCCTGGTGGTGGAACAAGTGAGTAAAATCATGCAGAATCATTTAATTACCTAATCTTAAATATATATCATTACTATACGAAAACACCCCCAAAAGTCTTATCTATCTATGAGTACAATAGTAAACAGATTCAAAGGAAAAATGGAGGTAGGAATTAGAGAGAGTAGGTGGATAGAAAATGAGTCTAAAAAAGCAGGTCATCCCAGACTAAGAGCATGATTTTCTTGGAAAAGATATCAGATTGTTCTAGACGAAGAAAATACATTAGCTCTCATCTTTTGGAACTGTAGTAATATGTCTGATATTCTGTCACATGGGAAATTAGAGAAGCAGAATAAAGTGATTATAAAGGGATTAGAATGTAGCTAAGGACTTGGCTAAATGGGAAATGGTATTGCAAGGCAGAATATACAGCAAGAGAAGATGTCCCCTGTAATTTCTCAAGGATTATTTTTGGGGACCAACCTGGATTAGTGTTTTAATTATCCATATCAACAAAAAATGAGGTAATTTGTTGATGGATGAAGTTCACAGGTATTATCAAAACAAGAGAAGATCAAAACATGTTGAAAAACTAGGGGATCATTGAGACCTGGAGTGAAAGAAAAGGTGTAGCAACAAATCCTGTTAATTGTAAGGTTATTCACCTGGGGACTAGTGAAAAAAGCTATTAGCTGTAAATTATTGAGAAAGAAGCCCTAGATATAGTAGCTGATCAAAGATGCCTGTGAGCAGTACCAGATGGCAGTATGGTGCAGATCAATGTGACTCTAAGTACAAATGCCGTTGTATGCTTACTGCCTTCCTGTGCCCCTGCTCTCGCTAGCGGCACTCAAGCTGAAATAGAGCAGAGGATCTTCTCGTAGCAAACTGCAAAGCCTGTTTTATGAAAGTCATCTAAAAGTGTTTAGCTTGTTCAACCCGGCAAAATGGTGGCTGAAAGGAGATACGATTGCTGTCAATAAAGGCATCAGGAGAATCAGCGCCAGAAAATAAAGCTACTTAAGCTAAAGGACAAAGTTAGCACTGAAAGAAACAGCTACAAAAACAGAATTGCATAGAAACTTAAACTGAAAATTAGGTACTTCCTAAGGATTACAAGAAAAAGTTCTGAAGTAGTCCTACAAATCCAAATGGTTAGGACAAAGGAGTGAAGGTTACTTTTAAGACAGAGCTTGGTAAGTTTATGGTTATATACTCTGATGCATGCAACTTCTGGGAAATGGCCCTTGATAATCTGCGAGATCTTTTGTACCCCTATGTTGCTGTAATAATAGCTGGCTAATTGCTAACCGCTCTATAGCTTGGCTTCAAAGTGGAGATTTTTAAGAGTATAAAAACAAATAATGAAGTTCAGATACGTAGACAATGCTGAGATACCAGTGCTGTTCATAGTACTGATGTGCTCTTGCATTTTCAAATTGCTATTTATGATTTTAAAGCGTTGTTTAAAATGGTTTTTGCAATGTATTTTTTTTGAAACAAACAGTGCAATTTCACAAATTACTATGCATTTTCCTTGTTAACTTTTTTGTATTCTTTATTAATAGTACTTAAATTACATTTCTGTTTTCAAAAAATAAGCAAAACAAAGGAGGTAAAATCAGCTAAATGTTAAAGACACAAGTCACATTTGTGTGGTCTTACTTTCTCTGTTGATCAGAATTTTGTGCACTAAGCAAAGAAGAAAATTTCCCAATAAATTGCCTTTTCATTTATGCACACTTACATTTGACCATTTGCTTAGGTCCAGCATTCAAGGTGAGGGTTCTCGTACATATTTCATTTTGCAGTTCAGTCTTGAGATTTGTCCCCTAAATGAGACTTTGGTTGTATTTTGGGAAAGGTAATATGTTTGTTTCTGTCATGATGTAGCTGGTTGAGCAAATAGGATGAAGGCAGGATTGTCAGTGCCATCTGTCTCCTATGGCCAGGCTGAAGGAAAGAAGGGAATTGGGTTCTTGTGAGTAGAGGAATTTAAAGGCACCTCTGAATTCATTTGAACGTGAAATCTTTAACTCATTACTCAAGTTTAAGTTTGCATATTCAGAGGCTGCATGCCAAGAATGCATTCATTTTCCTTTACTGAGCTCGCACTGCAAGCTGAATTACAAATTCCCAGAGCAGCAAAACTGGCAGAAAGTCCGCCAGACTTGGAGCTGCTTGGGATGCTATTCGTAAAGTAAAACATTGAAAAAAAAATTTTTTAAAATAAAACTGGTATTAGTGGGCAGAAAAGGAAAGTGGTCTTGTGTTTGTAGGAAAGTCTAGTCTCAAAACTGGGATTTACAGGAAATTTTTCCGTTGTAGAGGGGTTCACATGTCTGCATATGCAAATATCCCCAGGGCCTTTATCCTGAAACCAAGATATAAGGTAGAGCCCCTTAAATTTAGCATCTTCACCCCAAGCAAAGCTTGTTGCAGAAGCTGCAGGAAAAGCCTTAATTCAGTGAAGTAATACAGGACATGATATAATGTATGTCCTCACCTTTTTAGGAAAGCACTTCCCAGGAACAGATTAACTCAGAGGACTGGAACTCGGTGCCCGTGGTGCCAGCAAGTGATGCGGAGCAGCCAGAGAAGCTGCCTCCTGCCTTGCACAGCCATGGTCTCTTAAGTCTCTGCAATTAAGTGCTTGGCTGAATAGAAATCTGGGCCGAAGTCGTATGGCGCAGCTCCCCATTCATCCTCATCAGGGACAGCATTTGGGGCAGGACCCTTTTCTCTGTAGGGTGCGGAGAAATTAGTCTAAACCCTTGTTGGGCTTTGTTCCTCCTGTACTCAATAGATGGTGCCAGAGGCTCCTTTTCCCTGCAACAGTGATAGCCTGCTCCTCCTGCTAGCTCTCCTAGCAATAGCCAAAGTGGTAATGCTGGAGATTCAGAGGAGTAGGACACTGGAGATGATGGTTAGAGGGAAAAGACAAAAGGGGAAAGAAAAAAAAAACCTTTCAGTAATTGATGTTTCACAAGGACCGTGCTAAAATACATTCATGTAGGTAGCAAGTGTGTTTGAAGCCTAAGAAACACAAGACTTAAAGTTGTCTATGTTTATGCAGTCTTTATATGGGATATGGAGTTAAGGTCTATACAACTGCACTATGTAGTAGGGTAGCATGCACCATTGCAGCAACTGCTTGGTGATTTAGGTATTATTTCTGTTGAGGCAAAAGTTTAGCCAAAAGGCTTTCTAGCTTTTATGAATATTTTCACACACAGTAGTTTTGCACTGAAATGTGTGATACTGGATTTCAAAACAGTAACTGTTGTGTTTTTAATATCAGGTGCAACTCCAGTAGTTCCTACTCGAGCAGCAACTCCAAGATCAATGAGGAATAAATCACATGAAGGAATTACAAATTCTGTGATGCCAGAATGTAAGACTCCTTTCAAGTTGATGATAGGGGCATCTAATGCCATGGGTAGGCTTTATGTGCAAGAAATGGCTGGAAGCCAGCAACAAGAACTTCATTCTGTCTATCCTAGGCAGAGATTGGGTAGTAATGAACTTGGACAGAAGTCTCCGTATCGTGGCAGTCATGGTGGGATGCCCAGTCCAGCTTCATCAGGATCACAGATATACGGAGATGGCTCAATCTCTCCTAGGACTGACCCACTTGGAAGCCCTGATGTTTTCACAAGGAACAATCCCAATTTTCATGGAGCACCCAACTCTAGTCCTATTCACACGAACAGGACACCTCTGTCTCCACCATCAGTAATGCTACATGGTTCTCCCATACAGTCATCCTGTGCAATGGCTGGAAGGACTAATATACCTCTTTCCCCAACCTTGACCACAAAAAGCCCAGTAATGAAAAAACCCATGTGTAATTTTTCAACTGGTATGGAAATACCACGAGCAATGTTTCACCATAAACCACCCCAAGGTCCACCCCCACCTCCTCCACCGCCTTCTTGTGCTCTTCAGAAAAAGCCATTAACATCAGAAAAGGATCCGCTTGGCATACTTGACCCTATTCCTAGCAAACCAGTTAATCAGAATCCTGTTATCATTAACCCAACTACTTTCCATTCAAATGTCCACTCTCAGGTACCCGTGATGAATGTAAGCATGCCTCCTGCTGTCGTCCCTTTGCCAAGTAATCTTCCTTTGCCAACTGTAAAACCTGGTCACATGAACCATGGAAGTCATGTTCAAAGAGTTCAGCATTCTGCTTCAACCTCCCTCTCTCCTTCACCAGTGACATCCCCAGTTCATATGATGGGATCCGGGATTGGAAGGATTGAGGCTTCTCCCCAAAGATCACGTTCTTCTTCCACGTCATCAGATCATGGAAATTTCCTGCTGCCTCCAGTAGGACCACAGTCATCCTGTAGTGGTATTAAAGTTCCTCCCAGGTCCCCAAGGTCAACAATAGGGTCACCGAGACCATCTATGCCATCTAGCCCTTCCACCAAGCATGATGGACTTAATCAATACAAGGACATCCCTAACCCATTAATTGCTGGAATGAGTAATGTATTAAATCCTCCAAACAATGCAGTCTTTTCTACTGCATCGGCTGGAAGTGGTTCCTTGAAGAGTCAGCCTGGTTTGCTGGGAATGCCTTTAAATCAGATCTTGAACCAGCACAATGCTGCCTCTTTTCCAGCAAGTAGTTTACTCTCAGCAGCAGCCAAAGCACAGCTAGCAAATCAAAATAAACTTGCTGGTAACAACAATAACAGCAGTAGCAATTCTGGACCTGTTGCCAGCGTTGGCAACAATGAAGGACATAGCACTTTAAATACCATGTTCCCTCCTGCTGCCAATGTGCTTCTACCAACGACTGAAGGGCAAAGTGGCCGAGCAGCACTGAGAGATAAATTGATGTCTCAGCAAAAAGATCCTCTGAGAAAAAGAAAGCAGCCGACCACCACGGTGTTGAGTTTGCTGAGACAGTCTCAGTTGGACAGTTCTGGAGTTTCCAAAGCTGGATCTGATTTGATAAGAAAGCAAAGTCAGAGCTCCTTTCCCATCAGTTCTATGTCCCAGCTACTTCAGTCCATGAGTTGTCAAAGCTCTCACATGAGCAGCAATAGTACCACCAGTTGTGGGAGCTCAAATACTGCTTTACCTTGCTCTGGTAACCAGATGCATTTTGCAGACACCAGTATGAACTCTGGCAGTCTCCAGAACTCGCTGGCACAGAGTTTACCCCTGCGAGGGGACGGTGTGCACTGCCAGAACACAAACACTAACTTTGTCCACGGTACTAGCCCGGGCACAACCAACCATCTTGCAGGTTTAATAAATCAGATGCAGGCTAGCGGGAACTGTGGGATGCTCAGTCAGTCAGGAATGGCTTTAGGAAATTCATTACATCCGAACCCACCTCAGTCGAGAATCCAGGCATCCTCCACTCCAGTGATACCAAACAGCATTGTTAGCAGCTGTAATCAAACAAGTCCTGAAGCAGGTACGTTTCCTTCTAAAAGGATACCCCTATGTTTGACTGCTTGGAAATATATGATGACTATTTTTAAATGGGTTCCTTTTACGTATCTACTTTTTAAATTTGAGAATACCAATATGAAAAGTCTGCCTATTTCATGCTGATATCCAGAAACTCAAAAATAAAACAAATGAGAAAAAAACAGTGGTAGACTAAAATATATCTCCCTTTTCCTGAACAAAATCATCTTGGCCTCCTTCCTGTGACAATTCTTGCTTTTATTAACTTCCACACACTCTGCATAAATAAAATCCATGCACTTTTGTACATACCCAGAACTCAGCTTTTGTCACTTGCCCAAATAAATTGGGTTGTTGTTTTTTTTTTTGCAGCATGCCCTGCTACTTCAAGCCTAGAATGCAATGGTTAACATGGCAGCGTACGTCCAGGCTATACATGTGTTCTTTACTGCTTGCATTAAAGAGTTGGTGTTATCAGAGATTGGAGCAGATACTAGAAGTACTAAAGTTTACAAAATAACCCTTTTCAGGGACAGCACGGGGGAGTGCCAAGTCTGTGTTAGCCTTTATCATGATAATTTTACTAAGCTGGTAATTAAATGGTTGAATAAACTGTATATTCAGTTGGAAGAATGTAGAGAGATTTCCTGGTTTATTCATCAGTGAAGACTTGGAGAGGAAACAGGTATGCTGCTGTTACTATCTCCATGCTGTTAAAGATAAAAGGGAGACAGCTCAAAAATTTACATTTCATTTAGCTACTCCTAGTTGAACAAAGCATGCATTTTTGAAAGATGGTACTATGTTAATTTCTTAAGCAGAAAAAAACCCTTCCATTTGATATTTCAGTCTTTCAGCTTGGTTAATGTTCAAAGTATGTGTTTGATACAATCATAGCTAAACTATATCAGGTCAAACGAAAGTGACTGTAAGCATGCAAGTGGTCTCTCTCATTAACCCAAGAAAGAACCTGATATGTATTCCTGAGCTTCCTTCAAGAGAGCTGTTTATTCTTTGAAATACAGAACAGAATTATATAAAAACTGAATTATATAAAAATAATTTTCTAATATTATGCTGGTCACAGTTCCTGATGACTTTTAAGGGTTTCTCTCCGTTCCTGTGGAAAAAAGGGATTTTTTTTCCTTAGCTGTATTGGTGGTTTGTGTCACAAGCAAGCAGCTATTAATCCTTGCATGGCTGTTTTGCCTTGTCATGCTGACAAAGAGTATTTCCTGATATAGTCTATCTCTTCTGAGACTTTGTACTCTCTTCTGAACAGAACAAAGGTCCAGTTTTGCCTTAGGAGCTTGCTTTCTTGTCCCACTGAGCATACTACAAAATCTCTTTAGCAGGAATTCTTTGGGTTTCTGCCTCTGTTGGGTTCAGTGGGGACCAGTGGTATGTATGGGTTCTTCTGAACTGTCACTGTCCACACAGCTGAAGAAAGCTGTGAAGTTATTGCAGCTTTGGACTACGTTAACTTGCCCTCCAGAGAACAGAAAAGACTGAGTGTTATGTGAGATAAGAGCCTGTGCACCAGCGGTTGCCGTCAAGAAGCTGAGCAGTAGTAGTTCACCCTGTGTGGGGTAAGGGTTGAAAAGGTTCAAGATTCCTGCACAAAATTCAGACTGGAACCGATTAACAGAACTTTTATGACATGAAAGTTATCAATAAAATGTTGCTTAATGACTATTAAAATGGGCTTCTAAGAACGAGAATCCAAGTTCATCCCCGTGCGGGATCTTCTTGTTCCTGCTCCATCACTTTGACCCAGCCATGCCCTGCTTTGGCATGGTGGTACCTGGGATGACTCGGGAAGGCTGCCTTCGAGTTGATGGCACGGCTTGTCGTCATTCCTATGTTAGTTAATCAGAGCCTTTGCTTGTATTGCCAGTCCTTGTCTTCAGGCAAGCCGAATTTCCTCCCGAGAAGACAAATGCGACAGAACAAATCTGTGCATGTGTCAAAGCCCCATGAAGAAAGGTTTCAACACGAACAGCCAATTGAGTTGTCATCAATATGGGAATAGAAATATGTATATAACCCCACCTGGGAACTTCTGTTCTGCTCTGGTATTTCTACAGAATGGTATTTCTAATACCCTGGAGATAACGGATAGAATTATAGCAATATAATTATAGGGCCTTAAACTGACACTTTTTTCCTTATCTAAATGATAAATGGTAGTTCTGTGTAGGCAAAGACTAGAAAGATTCGAATATGTTCTGTTCCTCATTAGTGAAGGGGTTTGTTTCTTTAGTTTTGATGCTTGCAAAATACACACAACCTGCATTTAATTATTTTATTAAATATCCATGATGGCTAGAAGCCTAGAGACCTGTTTTCTTCTTTAAGATGAAATTTCAGATTCTGTTATCTTTGTGGTATTCCCAGGGGCAAGGCCTTAAAACAGCGCATAAACCTTCATCCAGCCTCCTGCCTGACTCATCACAGCAGCATGGGGCTCAGGCGTAAGGTTTAAATCTAATCCAGATAGGGACTTTTTGTTGTATTTGCAGGAGAATGGAAGTGTTCTTTCCGTGAAACAAGTGTGAAATGTTGAGTATTTTGCATTAATAATAACCTTTAAAAATAAAAGTTAGTTACCAGTCTGCATTCAGTTATGTAGACAAAACAGATAAGAGGTATATTGTGAATTATTCTGTGCAGAGGCATAGCAGGTTGATGGTTTTGGTGAAGGGAGCTGAGCAGTGTCAAATACGCTGCGTGAACTGCGCTTTCAAGTTTAGCTGAGTAAGATGTCTTCAGGAAACTCTTACGTTCGTATTTCAGTTTGTGGCTTTTTTTTTTTCGCTCTTTTTTTTTTTTTAAGTATTTTAATTGCTAAATCTGTTTTCCGTTTCTGTGCCAGCATTCAGAATAGTTACTAATCAGAAAATAGTTCCTGAGAGAAAAAATACTGAGAATCACCACAATTAGATAGCTGGTTATTGCCTAAGCTTTTAATTATATTTTAACCACATGGACCAACTTTTATTATTCTAGCGTTTGTTTTCTTCTTCCACAGATAATATCTTTAGTTTCCAGGTAATTTTCAGTATGAGTGTGATGGAATTAAAAATGAATAAATAGAAAAATAAAAATTTCTATTTACGCAATAGAAAGCTTTTGCAGTTTTCCAAGTTTGAGCCCTTGAAAACCAGTTATGCTCAATTAATTTTTATTAACAATTTCAATCTCTCAGTTCTATAGTATTTGGGTCACAAACACTGTTTAATAAGAGCTGTCTTACAGAAAGAGCTAGCAGCACATCTGTATAGATTATTTAGGGCTATTCCTTTGAAAAGAGTCCATTTTCTGCCAGCAGATTGGGTTCTAGACTCATTTTTTCTAATAAGTGGTGTTAATATTTCTGTTAACCTTTGATGCTGTATTCCTCATTAATCAAGCCCTCAGACTTCTGATACAAACTGAAGGTAGAATCCAGTTGGCCAATTTGGTAGCTTTAAGATTTATTCATTAAGCTACTTTGTCTCTCTTTGGATTTGTCTGTTCTTTTTGTAAAATGGGACTGTGTCACTGTGTGACTTATTTTATTGTAGAGTCTGGTTCATTTGTTTTTTCTTGCTGTTAGAATGTGCCATTAGCCCAGAAGTTCACAGTGTAGAAGATCTGTGTGTGAGTGTTGAACATTAAACCTGCAAATGTTGCTAAGAATGCAACATGCATAAATGATGGGATAGATGAAAACAAGCAAAAAATATTTGGGAGTAAAAGCTATATACAGCTGATAAGGGAAATCAAGGGAACTAATATAATAACCATAGTGAATAGAAATAAAGATGATAAGCTGTCTCAAATATCAGAACATGAGAAATATGAGAAACTCTAGGTCTAGAAGTGTAGCAGTGGCAAATAAAGGGCAGATTTGGCAAACAAAGGCTATATCCCTTCCATAGACTCAGAACAGTAATTTTTACTGGTGGAATTTACAGAATAGAAAATAGTAAAATATAATTAAATAGGGAGGCGCACACAGGACCAATACCGATCAGTGAGGAGCTTCTATCCCACTCAAACAGTGTTTATTTTAATACAGTAAGTACAGTGTAATATAATTGAGAATGGAACGTTGCCTTGGAAAACAGTGACTCAAAGAAGGGTTTTAGGAGGCTTTGATGTAATAGACATAATGCAAACTGTCAGATCAGTGATGTTGAGGAAGAAAAAACAACAAAAAAACCTAACCAAACAAACAAAAAAACACCTCCGGAAAACCCACAAAAAGAGAAGCTGGGTTGGTCTTTGGAAACATAAAAATGGGAATATGGGGGTGTATACTGGCTCTGTGTATGCTTGAGAAGACCAGAGTTAGGATGTGGCGTTCTGGCTAGTGGTCACTCCTCGTGAAAGGTGCAGAAATACTAGAGATATCCAAGAAGGGCCACAAAATTGTTATGGGTGGTTGTCGATCAGACCTCGGGGCGTACACCCTAGAGGCAGTGTCTGTACTCTTGTCTTACAGACGATCCTGAAATCAGGCTCACCTCCCACACTGTGAGCTTGTCAGCAGACCAGATGCCAGGGAGTTGAGCTGGATGCGAGGTATTCCAGCACTTGGGAATGCCCTAGAATCTGCTCTTTCAAAGAAGTAGCCAAGAAATAGTATCTCTTCCTATAAGTATATATACTTGGGCAGTATCTGAAAAGGTGGAGGGCTGAATTATTTTTACCTCGTTGGCAGACACTTGATGACAGCTTCCAGTGCCTGAAAGCTGGTAAATTCAGCATCAAAGAAACAAGTGGTTTCCTTTTTGTGAGAATACTAAACATTGAAGTACTCTAGCAGAGCACGTGTTGAGCATATGAACAGAAAGAGTCTTAAAGAAATGTCACAACCCAAGTGTGCATAGGATTGTTCTGAATGATGATGGTGGTCGCTTCTGACCTTAGCATCTGCTCAGCTCCGTTCCCCTCGTGCTGCCCTCCTGTACTGGTGGCACAGAGAACTGCACTGCTCTCACACTGACTGCTCAGAAT